GGGCCTGAAAATGGCCCTTGTTTGTAGGCGCAGCATGTTGCAGGCGCAGCATGTAACAATGAGTTTGTTGAACGATTCAACTGATTGAGCTGAAGGTTTATCTAGGGATCTCTTCGATAAGTCTACCTTTTACACTGCAGACTGAGTAACAAGTAATTCACCCGATGTGATGAAAGTATCAACTTTGAATAATCTACTTGGCGTACTCGACTGATTAATAAGTGGAAAGCCGATTGAAGTGTGTTGTCAATTGATCCACTGTTCAATGAGTAACCTCACAAGTTTCAGGTAAGACATTGGAAAAAAGGGTAAATCTCTCAGCTGGTGTAATTAATGCTGACCGATTACATCGATTAAATTTATGGACTGCTACAGGTGATAGGTTCAGCGAGTGATTGGATGCAATCATTCCTCGAACGGTTTATCTATTGTAAGATCAGTTGGACAGGTAAGGGGAATGGGTAGGTGACTTGCAATGATCGATGTGATCCTACAGTTAGAATATGTAGGTTGATTAAACTTGCTTCCAATTATCAAATCAAGAAATTAAACACTACGGACAGGTCAAGATATCGTAAAAACAATGTAATTTGGAGCTTTACTGTCGTGGAACGAATTACATGGTAACTTGGCGCATCAACAATCACACCCTCACAGCCCTTCCACTCCTGTTTCGCTCAGAACAGCCATTTCGTTAAAATGGGCTTAAAAAAAATAAAAAAATTGTCATTTTATATTTTTTAACAAAATCGAAACCTACTTATTTGGCCCTCAGAATGTCACCGTCCGAAAACACTGGATCCCTTTGGATGTCTCTTCTGGGCTTCAGCTAAGTCCAGATGGACCCTCTTTTTTTTTTTTTTTTTTTTTTTTCCCAAGAAACACCCCCTTCAGTGCTAGCGGTACTGATAAGAGCAGCCACCACTAGCACCTGGGGAGAGGCTCCATCTATTGGTGGGGAGCATCACATGCTGGAAAACGGGTCCAGCGTCCCTTATGCAAAAATAATACAGAAGCATTCAAAAACATCTGAAACCAAACGAAACTGGAAAAAGACTGAAGAAAACCTGCCAGCGTTGATTACTCTGGATTCGAGAGGATTGACTGAGCAGGTTGTAGAAGGGCTCTCCGTCAGCATCCATCCACCCTATCTAGCCATCTTTCTTGTGAAAAACTGACTGGTCAAGAAGGCTAACCCTTGTATCCTTGACCTTGAGACACCATGGGGCCACTGGGGGCCACGATCCTCTCCTTCTCCAATTATGAAGGTCTCCGGCCGAGTCCCACCTCATGGCGAGGAGACGTTGTGGGACCACTGGGGGCCACCAGCTGAACCACGCGTCTCCCCGCCCTTCTTCACCATCCTGTGGGGCCTCCCTTCTGCGACCAAAATTGATGGAAGTACGATGAGAATTGAAAATGCCGTTTAGAGAAAACGCCTCCCACGTCTGTCTCACCCTATGACACCTCAGAGGCAGCCTAAGGGCTATTATACACAAATTTCCAGGGCCAACGGGTGTGGAGGAAAGGGGTCCGGAAATTCTTCCGCAGGTCTCATAGAAATTTCTGGGCCTATCTCCATCCACTTCCTAAAAACAAGGCGGTAGTCTCGGGGGGGATTCCTCTCCATGCTTTCCGCCCTTGTCCCCCTATCTGTGAGCTCACCTCCAGGCCATCTCACCTCTGCCACCCACCCGCCTTGAACCCCGCATAACCAATCCTTAGAGAAATTTGTTATTCGTTCCCTAATGTCCATTTTGTTGTTAAGAGAATCAAGAACCCTTTTGGTTTCTTCCCACTGCCTAGAGAGTTCTAACTGAAAGTGTTGTTTGAGGTGTCCGCGCCACTCCTCCCCATCCACCTTCACCTGGTCCAGGACCACAGTGCAGCGCTGCCACCATAGAGTCCAGAGCACCGCCCGTCTGGCCAGGTGAAACATGTTACTCACAAAGGTGTTACTTTGGAAAGCTGGGAAGTGCCCTAGTAGGAGAGCTCTCCAGTCCCATGGCCACGGAACTCCAGGGACCATTTGTCCCCAGATCCTGTCCCTCAGGAGTGAAAATGGTGATAGTTTGGGGGGCAAATTAGTAGGTTTCAATTTACGTTCAAAAATATAAAACGTCTGTTTTAACATATCACATAGTTGCGAGCTGTCAGTATCCGTATGTTTTCTCCTCTTGTGGAGCCATTGTTTGACGGGAAGAGGTGCGCGGGCTACGAGCCACTGCATGCTTCGGATCCTAACTGGCCTGATGGACAGGTACTTCGTCCAGGGGATGGAAATGTGGTCCGTAGGTTCTACGTTCAGGATCTCCCTCCATTTTTCTTCGAGGCTGGGATCCGGGTCTGTGGTATGTAGTCCTAAGTCATATCCGAAATTTACATCGTATTCGAATATCGTTCTCGTTCTCCCGGATTTTCCATGTTTCCATATCCACTCTTTCGGGTCGAATTCGAGGTCCAAAATACTGAGATCAGGTTGGAAGATTATCCAGGGTTCGGCTTTTGGGACCCTCACTTTCCTCAGTCGGTAGGATTCTTTGACCTCAGGAAAGAAAAGAAAAAGGGAACAATTGAAAAACTTTTCGCGACCGCGCCGCTCGATTAGCGCAACAGTGCGCTAGGCCCGCATCCCCCGCTCGACGCTCGTCGCCGACAGGGCCAACCATAGCTGTAAGCTTACGTACGCGTGCATGCACGCGTGTCTTGCCACGTGTGGACGCTTCGTGCCATGATCTCATCCAAGATGGCTCGATATCAGGCTAACCGACTCTAGTAGTCTTCAGAGGACACCCACATCAGCAGCCCGCGAAGCCTCAAGTACAGGATTTGTACCTCCACTAAGCAAGAAGGGAACAATCAGCCGTCGACGAGGAACCTTCATCAAATCCTTGGAGTATCGTCCTTCGCGTTTCGTCATTGCAGCTACCTGACCGCCAAAGACGGACCGACCGTAAATCAAGAATCTTTCGAGTGAGAGCTAAATGCTCCCTCTCCTCATTCCCACCGCCCCACTAACCCACCCCAACCCTTTCTTGTTCCCCTCACCAAGATCCCATCCGACCCACCCATCCCATCTCGACCCTGCCCCCAACTCACTTCGACTCCCTCCCAATCTAAATCCCAACCCACTTCGACTCTCAATCTACCCCCTTTTTCGGCCCCTACCCAACCCCAACTCCAACCCACCTCGTCTTCGATCCCGACTCTAACCCACTTCAACTCGGCCCCAATCCCTACCCACTTTGACTCCCACCCGATACCGACCCTCTTCGACGCCCCGATCCCCAAACACTGTGGCTGTCACCCTTCCACCTCCCACTCTTCGACTCCCAATCCTGACCCACTCCAACGTCCACTCGATCCCTTCTTCACCCTGATCTCGTCCCACTTCGACTCCGACCCCAACCCACTTTCACTCCTTATCCGATCCCAATCCCAACCCACTTCAACCCCCACCCGGCCCCAATCCACTTTGATCCTAACCCACCTTGACCCACGCCCGCTCCCAATTTACCCCCCATCCTGACCCACCTCGATCCTTATTACCTGGACTCCCGCATGCTCCCACCTCGCCCCCGCTTCCGCCCGCTCCCACTTCGCCCCCAGTTCCGACCCACCTCGATCCTAGTCACCTCGATTCCCACCTGCCCTCACTTCGCCCCCGCCCCCGACCCACTTCCATTCCATCCCAGCCCTGATCCCCAGCCCACTTCGACTCCTACCCGATCCCAATCCCAACTCACCCGACTCCCACCCGATCCCGTCCCACTTCGATCCTAACTCACCCCGACTCACGCCGGCTCTCACCCTGCCCCCCATCCCGACCCTCTTCGATTCCACCTCACCTAGACTCCCACCCGCTCCCACATTGCCCTCGATCCCGACCTACTTCAATCCCAGCTCGCCTCGATGCCCGCCCGCCCTCGCTCTGCCCCTGGTCCCGACACACCTTGATCTCCCCCCGGTCCCCGACCAACCCATCTCGACTTCTATCCAATCCCACTTCGACTCCCATTCAATCCCGATCCCAACCTACGCCGATTCCCACCCGACCCCAATCCCAACACCTTTCGATTTCCCCCCGACTCCGATCAATCTTGATCCCTACTCACCTCGACCCCCACCCGCTCCCACTTCGCCCCCCGACCCTGACCTACTTCGATCCCAACTCACCTCGACTTCCCACCCGCCCCCACTTCATCCCCGATCCCTTCCCGCGCCGATCCCCCCGACCCCGATCCCGACCCATTTTCGACTCATACTCGATCCCACGACTACTCCCACCAGACCCCGATCCCAAGTCACTTCAACTCCCTCCCGATCCCAACCCCAACCTACTTCGACCTCCACCAGATCCCGACCCACTTCGTCCCCAACCCACATTGACTTCCACCTGCTCCCACCTCACCTCAGATCCCGACCCACCTCGACTCTCGCCCAACCCCGACCCCATCCAACCCCAATGCCGTCCCACCCCGATCCAGATCTTACGCCCTCACTTCGCCCCTGGTCCCGACCCAGTTTGATTTCCCCCCTGGCTCAGATCCAAGCCAGCTCGACTCTTACCCGATCTCACCTCGACCCCCATTCAATCCTGATCCCAATCCAATTCGACTCCCACCCGATCCCAGCCCCATCACCTTTTGACTCCCTCCCGACCCCGACTCGCTTCGATCCTGACCCACCTCGACTCCCACCCGCTCCCACTTCGCCCCTGATCTCGACCCACTACGATCCCAACCCACCTCGGCTCCCACTCGCCCCTACTTCGCCCATGATCCCAACCCGCTTTGATTCCCTCCCGATCTTGATCTTATGCCACGGCCCCAGGACACCTCCAACTAACCCCGCCCCTGCCCCACATCTCACATCAAGTCCATCTCTACCCTGTCCAGACAGACCCACCCCGTTAACGACGGCTCCAGTAAGAACATCTTACGATACGTACCACCCTCTCTTCTGATTTTCCCGAAAAAGACAGTATTAGCGAGAGAGGGTTAGGCTAATCACATTGAAAGATGGCTAATCCAGCTCAAGGCACGGGCCCGACTGATCAGGCGATAGCCGAAAAGACAGTCAATATCATTGACAACGAAGCTATCAAATTCTTGATAGAGAAGACGAAGGTTCAAGGAATCGAATCAACCGAGAAACAGATAGTAGACGACAAGGAAGAGGAAGTGATCATTTGGAAATACCCTGAACAAAAGATCGCCGAACTGGACGATCTGCACGAAAAACATGGAGTAGTATTCAATTTGCACGCCACGTCGCAGATCTCCCACCAACAGAGAAGAGGAAGTGGATAATTGACACAATCAGAAAGGAGCCAAAACTCAAACAGATTGGGGACACTTACTCACTGCAGAGCTTGGGACGGAACAACATCATGGTAATCTTTATCCATGAGGACCATGCACGGATCGCAGCCGAATGCAATCCAGAAACTGTCACGGATCAGTCTGCACCATCACTAGATGGAAAAAGTTGTCAGTTCAAAGACAGAACCCAGTATTCGCAGTTTCCTACAAACAAACTCTGCTGAAGGAAAAC